GTTTCTCAGGTTTCTGGATATGTTTTCTATGTATATTGACAGACGTCTGAAAGTTCGGAGGGTGGGTCGCGGTCGTCCACGCAGCCGCTGTCCCCACTTGCGTTGTCCAGCTCGCGAGGGGCCCAGCCTACACGCTACCATGTAGGAGGGGACTTTGCAGGGGATGGTCCTGAGCAGCATCGGTGATGCTTGCCGGTTTGATTCTGGCAGCCTTCCTTCCAAGCCTTGCTTAGGGGAACAAGGAATGACATAAACATAAATACTCGGAGGTCCGCGCGGATCTCCTGGATCGGCGCAGGACCCCCCTCCCTGGCGCGCGGTGCGCGCCAGTGGCGGCGCCGGAAACGCCGCCAAGGTGGCTCCAGCGCCGATCCAAGAAATCCGCGCGGACCTCCGAGTTTTTGTTTATTCCCTACCTAGGCTCTGGCTAGAAGGGTTCTTACTCTCTCTTTCTTAAAGGAGCCGGGCAGTGGGACCCGCCCCGGGCGGTTCCCCCAGTATCCGCCCCGCAGTTCCCCCAGTTACGTCCCCGTAGCTTAGCGTTCGCATGGGTGTAATTCCCTACCTAGGCTCTGCCTAGAGTGTTAGCTTAGCTTAGCTTAGCATAGCGCAGCGCTGCATTAGCATAGCGTAGCATAGCATAACATAGCCAACCATAGCATATCATAGCACAGCAAAGCATAGCATAGCCCAGCGCAGCATAACATACCATAGCATAGCATAGCATAGCGCAGCTTAGCATACCATAGCATAGCATAGCATAGCATAGCTTAGCATAGTACAGCGCAGCATGACACAGCATTAGCTTAGCATGGCATGGCATAGCATAGCATAGCATAGCACAGCATAGTATAGCATAACATAGCATAGCGCAGCATAGCATGGCATAGCATAGCATAGCATAGCATAGCAACTGGTGCTGCTTTCCTAGGGGCTCCAACTTCTAGGTAGGGTCGCACTAGGTTAATGTCATTGTTCGTTCCCTTTTTGTTGTTCCTCCACCTCCACCTCTGATTACATCGTCGCGGCCGCAGGGTGGGCCCCTCTTCCGCATCATATCCCATCGCATCGCCAGCTGCACAAGGGCTGCCTGAGCTGGGTATCACGTGGTACCTTCTCGCCTTGTGGCATGCGCCTGGGAGCCTTTGGCTTATCAAGCTGTGGCAGCGTTTTGCTGTTTTCATCACTGTGTAGTGCACGAGTCAACGTTCAGGAGGGAACAAATCGCGGGCACTCTTGATCGTCGATCCCCAGGAAAAAGATGGGAAGTTGGGGAGGGAGACGAAATCCCCAAAATTTATGGAACAAATATAGGGGATCCTGGGATTTGTGTGTATTTGAATTGTTGCTAAGGCCTTACGGCCGGTGCCGCCGACCTTGGAGGCCTCGGCCCTCGACGGAAATGGGAGGGAGAGGACGGGCCATGGTTCGTGCTCCGTGCTTCGGGGCTCGGGGTTCTCGGGCGCTCTCGTCGGTCCTCGGCGGTGTTCGCGCCTCGGGATGCTTGCCAGCAGCTGCGCCTCGCCGAGGGCGTGACGGGGGTGCCCGGATCGCCCCGAGGAGCCGCCAGAGACCCGATCTTTGGCACTAAAACCGAATTCAGCGGCGCGCCGTCTCAGAAGGCGGCGGAACTTTTCAGAAGCCCTCCAGCCTTCTGAGAATCGAGGAATCGAGGAACAGATGCTGCATAAACATGAGCTGTTGCCGGTCCGCGCAGATTTCTTGGATCCGCGCTGGGGCCTCCTGGCAGCGCCTGCGGCGCCGCACCTGGCGCGCTCCGCGCGCCAGGGAGGGGGCTCTAACCCAGATGCAAGAAATCCGCGCGGACCTCCAACAGTTTATGCTTATACCGTTTTTTTTCATGCCGTTGTTTCATCTAGAGAAGTTATCCGTTTGTTCGGGGAAGGCTCATAAGATTGCTCAGAAGTCCGAGGGGGGTCCGAGCCTTATGAGAAGGCCATCCCCTTCTCACTTCCCCCCCCTGGACTCGCCGCCGATTCTCGACGGTGCAGCGGGGGGGGTCGGCGGCAAAATTGGAACCCTGACCTCGCCGAGGTGGGGTGGCGGGGTGGGGGTTCGGGGCGAAATGCGAACCCTACCCCCCTGAGGGGCTTGTTTTGAACCACCACCACCATAAGTTGGAGAGGGAGGGTCCTCCTCCTCCTCCTCCTCCTCCTCCTCCTCCTCCTCCTCCTCCTCATTCCCCCCTCCAACTTCAGGTCGCGGTGTTGCAAAACAGGCCCATCACTCCAGCCTCCCATCGATTCACGAGAATTCCATGGCTGGTGGGGGTCGGGCTCGGACGGCGCCGCGCAGGGAGGAGGGCCTGCCCCGCGCACGGCGCGCGCGCCAGAGCGAGAGCCAGAGAGCGACAGCGCGCGAGCCCGAGAGGAGATCGTGCACGTGCCCAAGATCATCCCGCAGAGGCGCCTCGTCCAGCAGCCCGTGGAGGTCATCACCGAGGTTCGGGCCGGACGAAAGGGGGGGATTGGGAAAGGGGGGGGTACGAAATTTGCGGCATGCAGCTGGTTTCGGCCTCACCGAGGGGCCCACTCCTCGATGCATGGGCGCCTCCTGGCGCCGGGAGGCGCCGGGAGAATCAGCCACGTGAGCTGATTCTCAAACCCCCCCTTTGTTATCCCCCCTGTGGATGATGGGCGCACGATGTTTTTCAACAGGCGATGGTAAGTGTTGGCGCCGGCCCGTGGGCTCTTGAGAAACCTCACTGGCGCTCAAGCTCCCTCGCGACTCGGGCCGAAAACTGCGGAGGCAGAGAAGAAAACACCCAGAATCGTCGTGACGCTTCCGTGTCTGCACCTCCCAGGAGACTCTGCGTTCGTTGCTATCCCCCAAGGGCCAATCTGGCCCCAAGGGCCAATCTGGCCCGGCCAAACTGGATGATTTGGGTTATTCGCCAGACTGGATTCGCGTTGGCTCCCTCGCCAGATAGCCCCCGTTTGCCAGATTGGGCCTGCCATTGGCTTCGACTAGGCAGCTATCCCCCCCTTTCGCCCCACCCGAGAGGTGCCCGTCCCCATGATCGAGGAGGCCCGGCGCGGGCGCCGCGGGCGGGACGGCGGCCTGCTCGGCGGGCCGTTTGGGCGGGCTGCGGCGGGCGGCCCGTCGTCCGCCCTCCGCGTCCCTTCGGGAGGGGGAGAAAACACACAGACACAATTGATCGTCGATTCCATAGACCATGTGGGAAGCTATGGGAAGTGGGGTGGGGGAGACAAGAGCCCAGAACATATTAGAACAAAAAAACACACTTCAGGAGGGAAAAGACAAAAGTCCCTTCGGGAGGGGAAAAACCACACAGACACCATGAATCGTCGATGCCCCAGAACATCTGGGAAACTATGGGAAGTGGGGGGGAAGACAAGAACCCAGAAAATATGGGAACAGATGGGTAATCTTTCATTTGTGTGTGTTCATTTGTGGGACCCAGGGCCCCTTCAGGTCCTGATCTCCCTCTCCTGCCTCATTCGTCGCCCTCGGCGGGGCGGTCGTCCAGCGTGCCTGCGCAGCTGCGTGTCGTGCGCAGGGGCACGTGCAGAGCTGCCCAGGGCGAGGAAGAAGGTCGGGCTGTTGACAGGCGCCCCCGCCAGACGTCCGGGGTCCTCGCGGAGCAGGAGCGTACAGTCAAAAATCCTAATAAGGACGCGCGACTTTGCTCACACCCTTGCGTCCTCGCTCTTCCTTGCTCTTGCGTCCTTGGGGTTTGCGTCGTCCGCCGCCCCAAAAATCCCAACTTCGGCTGCCAAGGGTCTTGCGTCCTTACCGCGCGTCCTTATGAGGGTTTTTGACTGTAGTGGCATAGTGTCGTCGTGCTCGCAGAGGTGGGCGGGCGACGCGAAGGCCAGGAGGACTCACGACGTGAGCAGGATGGCGCGGAGTGGGTTAGACGCTGCACGCTCCTGCCCCTCCTCGAGGAGCGGGAAAGGGGTGGGTGGGTGAAGAGGAGCAGACCAGGCCCCAGGCCTCCGAATATCTGTCTTTTGTGCATGCGGCTTCTCGACAGTCCTCGCACCCTTCCCAGGGACCCAGCTTTCTCATTCCGAGTCGGCTTCGACGGTCCATGAGCGCGAAGCCTGTCAAGGGAGGGCCCGAGAACTGGCGTCTGCCCAACGGCCCTGGGTGTTTACTAAACAGCCCTGCCCTGTTCGATTCCTTCCGTGGGTGCGTTTACTAGCGGTTGCGTGTCGCGGTGATTACTACGGGGGCGGATGTTCTGCCCTTGAGACTGTCCTGGGAGGGTGATCACGGCGAGCAGCCCCTGCCTCGCCGCTCTCGAGCTGTCGGAGGCGTGGGGCCGCCCGCGAGGGGGCTGCGAAGACGGGCGCGCGCGCCTCGGCGAGCTCCCTTTGGGGGAGCGGCGCGAAGAGGGCCGGCAGAGGGGGACGGCGAGGGGGAGCGGCGAGGGCTCGACGAGTCCAGCGCGGCCCCCTGGGTTGGCGACCGGGGCGCAGGGCCTCGTGTGGGGGCGAGGGCGAGCAACGACGGCGAGGACGACGGCCACGGAGGACGACGACGAGCGACAATGACGACGACGACGACGAAGACCACGACGACGACGGCCACGAACGACGACGACGACGACGACGACGAGAACGAGAACGACGACGACGACGGCGACGACGACGACGACGACGAGAACGAGAACGACGACGACGACGACGGCGGCCACGGCCACGGCAACGGCCACGGCGATGGCCACAGCGATTGGCGACTGGCGACCGACGCCCCACGTTGACGACGAGCGGCTGCGAGGACGACGACGCCGAGTTACGGAACGACGGGGATGACGGCGACGAATACGAAGACGACGGCTACTAAGACGACGATCAATAACGCACGACAGAGGCCCGGGCCATGGCGACGACGACGGACAAGGGCGACGGCGGGGGCGACGGCGACGACCGGCGTATTACGACGACGCAGGTTGACGCCGCAGACGAGTGGACCCCCGCGCATGGCCCAGAGGAGATCGTCCACGTCCCGAGCGTGATCCAGCAGCCGCGCGCCATGCACGTCGAAGTGGAGGGGCGCCGGCGCGAGGGCGATCGGGAGTCGCCCAGGCTCACGTAACGGGAGTCGGCGCTAACTGGGGTCAAGCGGGTGCGAGCGAGGGGGCGACGTGAGAAGGAGCGGGCCTTCTCGGAGGGCGGCGGGGCTCCTCAGACGCCCTCGCGCCCTCCGAGAGGCTCCCTGTGTCCTCGGGGAAGGCCCAGAGACTTCTCAGAGGGCCCGTCGACTGCCGAGCCTTCTGAGAAGGCCCGCCCCGTCGCACTTGCCCCCCCGGGCTCCGCTGAGTCAGCCAGCCCCTTCCGGCCGACCCAGGGCTGGGAGCCACGTGGGGCCGATGGCCCCCCCTCTCTCCGCCCTCCGCTGGCCCCCGGGGTTGGGGGAACTGCCCTTCGTGGCTGGCCCGGGTTCTTCGCGCCGTGGCTCCCGGCCAGCCCGCGCGTGTGGCGACCCGGGGCAGTGTGCGTCTCCGGTGTCGAGCGTCACCGCAGGAAGGTTCGGGGAAACGTACGACTCGAGTGCGCCAGAACGCGGGTTTGTCGTTTCTTGTTTGACGAGCGCGTCCTGGAATTTGACGGTCCCGTTTTCGTGGGATGTCTGCAGCGGGAGCCCGCGTCAAATTTCGGATTGGGACTCGTCATTTTTATCATGGCCCCCGTCAGGCCAACCCGAGTCCCCCGTACCCGAGTCTTACGTCTCCCCGAAAGGTTTGGGGTCGAGCTTCGGGCAGTCTCGCTTGAATTGAATAGCAAACGTCAGCAGGCACACAAGCTTTGGGAGCTTGGCGCGCTTCGCCCGGATCGGCGCTGGGCCCTCAGTACGTCTCCGATGTCGAGCGTCAGCGTATGGAATTTTGTGATCGAGCTTCGGGCGTTCTCGGACGAGGCTGGGATGAGGATAAGTCCGTTCCGAGCGTTCCAGAACGCTCTCAGAGCGTTCCTGAACGCTCTGAGGAGGCCGCGGCGGCCGAGACATCCTCCAGAGTTGCCGGATCTCAGGGATCCTCGATTATCCTCACCCGATCATATCTTCGTCCTGGCTTCGTCTTACATTGTATCTTCAATTGGAGACGGCAAATCAGCATAAGCAGTAACTTTGGGGAGCTCCGCGCACTTTGCCTGGATCGGCGCTCGGCCACCCTTGCGGCGCCTCTGGCGCCGTCCCTGGCGCGCTCCGCGCGGCAGGCAGGGAAGTCCGCGCGGGCCTCCGAGGCATGTCTCTTTTTGTCTTGTTCGTTCAGCAGCGAACACGATATGGGCCCTTCGTTTTAAGTGTAAGCGATTCGTTATTGATTGCCGTTGCATGTATGTGCGTGTGTGCGTGTGTTTGGTGTGTTTGTGTGCTTGTGCGTATGTGTGAGCGTGTGTGTGCCAGTGTGCGCGCTTCCTGTCTACCTTCTCTACGCCACGACGCCGCGCGCCTGGCTGAGACGCCACTGCACCTATGCGTGCGAGCGTGAAGGGCCGTGTGGGTCACCTTGGCCGGCCGCGTGCGTCTCTTCGCCCGACGTTCTATGCCGCGGCGCTCCGCGCGTGGCCGCGAAGCCAAACAGTGTGTGCGTGCGTGCGTGCGTGCGTGCGTGCGTGCGTGCGTGCGTGCGTGCGTGCGTGCGTGCGTGCGTGTGTGCGTGCGTGCGTGCGTGCGTGCGTGCGTGCGTGCGTGCGTGCGTGCGTGCGTGCGTGTGTGTGTGTGTGTGTGTGTGTGTGTGTGCGTGTGCGTGCGTGCGTGCGTGCGTGTGTGCGTTCGGATCAACCGCAGCAGCAGCCCCACGTTACGATGGACGCCGTCGCAGGAGTTCGGCCACCTGTCATTGTCCCTCCTAGTCGGTTTCACTTCTCGTCTTGTTTGGTTGTCCCCAAACGTGGTGATGAGAACACCCGGTGATGAGTTTTGGGCGATTTGAGTAATGGTTTTCGAGCGTTGGCTGGCCCAGGAAACGCAAAACCTCGTGGCGACCGCGTGTCCCCAAACCCGGTGGTGACCCAGAATTATTTTTTGGGGGAATCTGGGTCACCACCGGGTGTCTCACCACCTGGTTTGGAAACAACCAACTTGTGCTCGTCGGGTCGCGTATTGGCTAACCCTTCGGCCCTCACTGTGTAGACCTCGCTTTATCTGGCCCGTCGGTTCCATCCTCGCGCCTTTGGGCTTGCCGTCGGCCCGCTTGCCTCCGCCCCCTCTCCCTGCCTTCGGTACCAGATCATGGGAGCCTTGTGCGTCATCGAAGCTGCGTCTTCAGAGTGCACTAGCGTGCTCTAGCGCTTGGTAATCGATGAAGACGCGCCGATGCAGCGCCGATTTCGCGCCGATTAGCGTCGATTAGCGTCGGCCAGCGTGGACTCGCAAGAGCCAGCAAGATGAGTTGCCACATGACCTTCCCTGGCCCTGGCGTGGCTCCGTCGCTCTGGCGTCGCCACCTCCAGCTTGCAGCTCGGCCGTCGGGGAAGTCCAGCGCTCGCTGGGGGGCATGTTTGTCCTGCACATGCCCACACAGGTCGATGCTGTTTCTACAGTCGAGCCTGATCAGCAGGTCGACCCTGCCAAATCAGGGGCACCCTCGTGTCCTGTGTTTTGCGACCCATGCTCGGGGAAACGTGAGACTCGAGTAAGCCGGAACTCGGGTTTGTCGATCTTTTTTGCGACGATCGCGCCCTGGATTTTGACGGCCCACTTTTTGTGGGACGCTTGCAGCGGGAGTTCGCGCCACATTCCAGACGGGGTCGCGCCGTTTTCGTGCTGGCCCCGTCGGGCACGCCCGAGTCCCCCTCAACCTCGGGGGCAGGTGGATGACTAGGGGGGGGTGGATAGGGGGGGGGGTATGATGACTAGGGGGGGGTGGATGTCATGGGGGGATGATGGCTAGGGGGGGTGGATATCATGGCGGGGGTCATGATATTTCCCCGGATTTCATGGCGCCTCTTCTTATCTCATGACGTCCTTGGCCCCCCCGCGGGGCCGCGCACATGCCGCCGGTCACGATCTGCACCCCCCCCTCTTGGACGCCCCCCTCCTGGCCGCTCCCGACCAGACCCAGTCTTCTGCCTCCCCGCTTCTCTGCGCAGTGTCTCCGGTGGCATCGCCGCCGCGCGGGGTCAACGGCACCTTAACGGGTACTTACTAACGGGTACTCTGAATTTTTGCCGAAAGTCGCCACTCTAGGGCCTTTTTCTTGCATTGCGGCTTTGCCAACCTCGGGAAGGGTTGGGTTCGCTGGGTCACGTTGTGGAGTCCCCGTTTGAGGGGTCCCCGTTTGAGGGGCGCCGCGCGGGGCGTCCTCGCGGCGTGCCCACGGGCGCCCTCTTGGCCGAGTGCCCGCACTGGCCAAAGTACCCGTCTGTGGAGTCCCCGTTGGAGGGCCGCCGCGGACGGGGCGTCCTCGCGGCGTGCCCACACGGGCGCCCTCTCTTGGCCCCCTGTGGCCCGGCGGCGCCCTCGCCGGGACACGGGGCGGGCGACCACCGGGCGCGCTGCGACGGCCCCTCTTTCGTGGGTCGGGGGTGGAGAGAACCCCCAACAATAAGAAGAAGAAGAAGAAGAAGAAGAAGAAGAAGAAGAAGAATTATAAAAAGGAGGAGGAGGAGGAGGAGGAGGAGCGACGAGGAGGGTGAGGAGGGACAAGGAGGAGGCCTCCCCCTCCTCTGGCCCTCCGGGACGCTGTTCGAAGCCTGCTCCGAGTCGGGGGTGGACAGAGCCCCCAACAGTGACACGTCGATTAGTGAATTGTCCGTTTTCGGTGCTCGAGATGGCGCCGTGGCCGTTATTTTCCAGGCTCGCGCCCGCCAGGTTTGGGCCCGAGGTCGTTTTCACTGAACCACGTTTTACCAAAGGGAGGTCTGTCCATCCCCGAGTGGGACGTCTGCAGCGGGTCAAGCAGTGGCGAAGCGTCCTGGCTCGCCTATAGCCCTGGCGCCCTACCAGACAATGTGCTAAGAACCTTCCGTGGTTGCCACGGGATGTTCTTAGAGCCTCTCCGGTCGAGATTGTCTTGTTTTAGCACATCGGGTTTCTGTTCTAAGAAAAGTGTTTTTGTTCTTAGAACATGTTTTGGGTTCTAAGAACATTTCGTGGTAGGACTATAGGAATGCCGGGACGGTCGGTCCCTGCTCAAGCGGGAGGTCGCGCCAAATTCCAGACGGGGTCGCGCCATTTCCATGCTGGCCCCGTCGGGCAAGCCCGAGCCTCCCCCCAGGCCGAGTCTTGCGTCTCCCCGACATATTGGTGCACTCTTTGCGCACCCAAGTATATGTACGAATGCAAGAGCACTCTTGGAAAGTAACCGCATCATGATGCTTGGGCGGCGGCTGCAGGGCGAGCGATCCTTCGAGCAAAGGCACACGCTGACCCCGACCAAGATTTCGCGGGACATTGTCGATGTCGGTCTTTGTCGTGGTCCATGCCGGTTGCCGCCGATTCGGAAGGATGGCCACGCATTGACGGTGACCAAGACGGACGGTGACCAAATACCGAATCGACATTCACGTTCTGGTGCTCAGTCGTGGTCATGCTTTTTTCTTTCCCCCCAATGATCCGACAGCGGGCGCCCGGGGAAGAGGAGCAGATCGTTGACATTCACGTGCCGCACCACCAGGAGGACGTGCCCGGGCCCTCCCCCATGCCCACGTGGCAACGCGGGGACCCAAAGGATCAGGAGCACGGAAGGAAGAGGAAGAAGAGAGGGGTACATCGATAGAAGGAAGAAGAGGACGGAGGAAGAGGAGGAGGAGGAGGAGGAGGAGGAGGAGGAGGAGGTGGAGGAGGAGGACGATGGGGAGGAAAGCGGGAGTTGGAGAGAGGGAGATCGTGAGAGAGAGAGAGAGAGACTGAGTGAGAGAGTCCGTAGCCATTTCGGCTCATGCCTGCCTTGGGCGCCAGGTGGGCGGCAGCGCTGGGTCTCTGCTGCGGTGCGTTGGCTGCCCTGGGGATGGCTGCGCTGCGGGCGGGAGCTCCCAGAGGCGGAGCTGCAGCGGCTGCGCCGTCGCCGTGGCCGACGCGGCGCGCCAGGCAGGCCGCTGCCCGCGGGGTCGCGACTGGGCGCTTGGCGGCAGCGCTACGGCGCGTGCTCGGCCTCGAGGCGCTCGTGGAGGGCCTGCAGGCCGACCTGCGCCACGCGGTGGCGGCGGG